CTGCATAGGAAGCTCTAGTTCCTCTGTTACTGTCGCGAGTGGAAGTGGAAGGCTTAGACAAGGTTATTAAAGGAGCCCTGGCGTTGGACACAAGGTGCAGAAAGGACTGGCTTTCTAAACTCCTTCTCGGAGAGGAATTTGGGAGCAGCTGAATCCTATCTTGGCCTCGGATTTTGTCAATGGTTTAAATTCAAGGAATTATAGAGGTGTGATTAAATTATTTTGTCCTGCAGGTTTTAATGATGGCAAATCGGCTATATTTACATAAAATGAATTATTTATTGTGACGAATGAACAGATGAGTGAACAGACAAAAGATCCCAATCAGAATTATTTACTACATGGTGTAAAAGCTAAGAACCTCCTCATAGAGTATAATATAGCATAAAGCAGTATAGTGCACTGTATCGAAGCGATTATATTAAAGCAATTGTATCAAAGCTAGCAAAAGAAACAATCATTAAGTAGAGATTGATATAACTTACTATACGAGATAGTGGTCAGATCTCTCTCTTTCTCTTAACCCCTGGGGAGTAACCATGAAGGAGTGTCCCTGCTTCATGGGAGAAGCTCTGCACTTCAAGGGAGTATGTGGAAGAATCTCTATATGAAAGTTGGACAGGGCTTTTATAGTTATAAAGTGGTGGACTGGTAGTCATAAATTTACAGGCCAGTGACTAGTTTATCTGTCGAATCCTGCTTCAAAAAGCAGAATGTGTGTTTGAAGTTTGGTGAACCAGGCTGGTTTTAACATAATTCAACACCAGAACACCACTTGGCGCCAGCTGTAGCTCACCACAGATAACTTGCCTGAAGGCTTGCATTGTGTGCATTCTCTGATCGGATTCTAGGCCTTATCCGGGCAGGCCATCCTGCCACAAGTGCGTTTCCCAGGCTGCAGTTGTGCACATTCCCCACTAAGGCAGGTGTCTCTTTGCTACATTTTATCATCCCTGAGGTCTCTTGCGTTCCTGTTGCCCTACACCTTTTGCTTTAATTACTCTTCACACCATAATTCCCTTTGTTCAGCAAGAGAGGATCAGAGCACTGTACCTCTCCTCCCCGCATCTTGCCCACCTTCTCTTTCCTTGTTTCTTGCCCTACACCTCCTCAAGCACCCAGCATTGTGGCTGCAATGCTGGTCACGGAGCGTGCCGTGGTGCTACAGAGCCAGTGAGCTGCAGGCAGCAGTCAGAGCCGTGGGCTGACAGCTGCTGTGCACTCCTACCAAAATAAACGGAATTGTGATGAGGAATGGATATGTTTTCTCACACCTTCAGAGGGCTAAGGGTTTGGTACTTTTTGGAGTGGAAGCTTACCAGGAATTACTTGGAAGTAGAGGATTAGATGGGCCACACTTCTGAAGATCTGCAAAGACCAGATACTTGGTTTGCCTTGCCCAGGGGTAGGTTTGCTTCTGATTAGGATGAGCTGAAAAGGTATTGGTGATACTTCTGTTGCGTGTAACTGCATTTTAACTGCTCTGTGAGCTGCAACATTAACATCTGTCTGTTCTTAACTGTAAAATTTAATAAGAGGTGTATCAGCAAATGTAAAAGTGACTACATTTTACTGTAACAGAAATAGAATTGTAATAATTTAAATCCTGTTGACCACTGTGGAAGTGAAAATGAAATCTGGTTTTAGCTTCTGCAGAATTCAATGTATAAAACTGCTCACACAATGCTAATATGCAAACTACTTGACTGTGAAAAGAGTTGTTTTCAGACTAGCTTTTTTGACCTCAGTAGATAAGGATCCCTATTCAGGAAAAAACAGATAATCTACTTCAAAGAGTGCACTTACTGCTGCTGCTGAGGTCTCTTTTTTCAGGCCAGTAGGTGCATTTGGATCAAGAAACTTTAGAGACTCTAGGTCTTGTGGAAGTCTTGTGCTCCATCATTTTGATGTTGTGAATTTTTTTGGATGTGTCAGTATTCATCCCAGCCTGTTAACAGACTTGTCTCAACCTTTTGGATAGCTCTGCCAGATACAACTTTCTTCCCAGACTGAACTGGCCGGGATACACAACATGCACAACAGCACTGCCGGAGCTCTGCAAGTGGCTGCAGCGTGTAATGAGACTTGGTCCACCCAGTCACCGAGCTCTGAGTTCTCACTGGGTGTGTTCGTGCTGCTGGCTGTCCTCATGGTGCTACTGTGTCTGGTCACCATCCTTGGAAATGTGCTGGTGATCCTTGCTTTCATCGTGGACAGAAGCCTCAGGCATCGGAGTAACTATTTCTTTCTCAATCTTGCTGTTTCTGACTTAGCAGTGGGTAAGTCACAGTTGTGGAGGCCTGTACTGCTGGTGTCCTGGGAATCTTAGGAGAAGTAATGGGTTTTATATTCTATGTGTTTTCTTCTGAGAGAACTATTTCCCAGATGTTTTTAGGGGAAGGGAAAGGAATAGTGGAAGCTGCATGATGTGTTTTAGCAGGCAGCTATGCCTCAAAATATGTTGTAATGAGAAATGCATCTCTTTTCATGTAAATACTTTTAATGTTTCATCAGGAAAAAGGAGCAACTATTACATGTGAATAGTAACTGAAGAAAAGATGTTTTTTGCTACAGTTTGTGATTTACCCTTGGCCCTCCTGTAAGACTGTTTACACAATTCAGAAAATCCTTCTTTTTGACAGTGTGTTTTCTTATACAGCTATGTGTGATACATGCAGGTAAATTAATTACTTCTCTACATAGTACTAATAGTTTTTGAATGTATTACACTGCAACAGAATAGTTTACCACCAGGACTTTTTATTGGCTTCAACTTAGCACAGGCTATTGATCCTGTGGGTTGTTTGATATCAGTAACATCCTGATGGCATCTCCCATCTGTATTCTTTATTGGTCCCCTCTTCCCATAGTGGCATTGCAGAACTCCAGAAGAGTTGGTCACTGGAGGTGCTGTGGATCCAGTCCTGGCTGTTGGTGCCAAGTGAGGAGGTGGGGGCGTGAATGTCCTGTGTAGCACTCTTCCATGGTTCAGGCCAGGGAAACAGCCCATGCAGCAGAGAAAGCCTGAGGAAACCATGGTGCTGTAGTAGATGTGCCAGCAAACATCTTGACTTCAGGCTAGCAAAGAAGTATTTCTGCACACAAGTGCTTTGTCTTCATGACAGTCACAGAGACCAGTATTCACAGAGCAGGGAAATAGCCCTCACCGACCCACTGCACATCTGGCAATACAGTCTCCCCTAAATGCTGTTCCTTCATCAGTGCTGTGTAGTGAAGTGTGTTAGTCTAGCCTTTAAGGTTTTCCTTTATTTCTGCCATTTATAAGCTGTGGTGCCTTATTCTAGGACTCGCCCTATGGTGCAGAAAACAAATGATGCATCTGCTGAAGCCTTTGTTTTCCTGCCCAGGCAGCTGGAGCTGCTATTTCATAGCTCAGGTCTTCTGCAAAAGTCTGGTTTTCCTCATATCTCATAGTTTAATCGAGAGATTTAAATATCTACCTTCTGCTGGTGCCTCATGTAGTCTTAAATCAGCCAAGAGGAAATGATTGGTATCAGTATTACACTAACCTATATAGAACATGTAAATCCAAGATTTAGTCTCTGGTATTGGTCAGGAAATACTTTATTTTCTGAAGCTGCTGTATGGTTTTTTTTTGTTGTTGGTTTTTTTGTTTGTTTGTTTGGGGTTTTGTTTTTGTTTTTGGGTTTTTTAAATTATTTTTGTTTTGTAATGTTTATTTATTTGGTTGGTTTTGGTTTTTAATGTATTAAAAGTCTGGAATCTTTCCAGGAATGTAACCAAGTCTTTTGCATCCACTAATTAGTAAAAGTGAGAATAGTTTGAAATATAAATACTTAAAACCTGGTTCTTGCCTCTATGTTTGTATCTATAGCCAAAACCAGTAATTTCTTTTTGACATGAAAACAAACATTGATGGCATAGAAGCTGATGAGAACAGTAGCTGTCATGAGCAACTATGGAAAATGAGTATTTTGTTCAAAAGTATTGCTGCTTTTATCTAGGGTATGTGTTAAACAAGCCATCGTTATCAAAAGAACTGTGCACATTTCCCTGTTGATAGCAGTCTGTCAGCTCATTACCCAGGGGTTTATTGTCAGTAGGCCACATAACCTGGTAATGTTCAGTAGCTTCTAAGGTCTTGATGGACATACCAAGAAAAGAATAAGCTGGAGAGTTTAAAATGAATCTTGAAGCTGCATGTAACTTTCTATTTGTCTCTGGTAGATCAGCACTTCCAGGAACGTAGTATCAAATATTGCACCACGCTTTTGAAAAAATATTAGAGGTAAAATGAAGAAGTTGCTGGTGTAAAAATAAAACAGAAACATGATTTTCTTAATTAAATACTTCTGTGGAAGGTCTTTTGGACAAAACCCAAATTTAACAGACAAGAAAAATGGTTCTGGAGTTATTCTCATGTGAAGAACAAGCACAAGATTAAAACACTCCTTAAAAATGGGAGTTTCATACTTCTGCTGTGTCTGCTTTATCTCTGGTAGAAGACATTTCCAAACACCCCATAGACTGTCTAATATATTGTCTTTAGCTTACAAATGCTAACCAATCTTAAAATGAAAACTGCCATTGGCAACAGCTGTAGATGTGCCTGGGGGAAAGCTCTAAAAGATAAAAGAATAGAGGAAATACAACAATGAGGTTACATGTCAGAATACAACCACAGTGCATATATGCTGCAGCACTAATTATGTACCTCTAGAGAGTGTAAGCTGGTTAGACTGCAGTTTTCTTCTTCAGTGGATCCTTCTTTGCTGATTTGCTTTGAGCTTATTACCAACAATCAGCACACATAAATCACACTATGATCTAATACATAAAAAGTTCCCCACCAGATTCCATGAGAATTTAAGAATTTCTGTATGTAAATCACGTATCCACTCTAATAGATTCGTTAATTTCTTTTACCCAAATTCCAGAATAATGTGTTTCTCTGCTTCCAGGAGTACCGTTTGCAGTCCATATGAACCGTGTGGTGTCTTTGTGGTTGCTTTCCATAGGTGTGTTCTGCATACCTCTCTACATCCCTTACAGCCTGACAGGAAAATGGCACTTGGGAAGAGGCGTCTGCAAGCTCTGGCTGGTTATGGATTATCTCCTGTGCACAGCTTCAGTATTTAACATTGTTCTTATCAGCTATGACCGTTTCCTGTCAGTCACTCGAGCTGTAAGTACCCTGTTTACAGCTTCTCTGATTTTTTTTGTCGGAGGATTATATTCACCAACCTTTGCTATGTTGGTGAGTGCAAGCCCAAAATTTAATTGCGATAATAGCTCTCGAAAATATATACTGACATGTGGAGATTATTAGATATTTGCAGCTAGATGGGGTGAATATTCCGCATTGAGCATGCTCTAGCACAGAGCTGGTCAACCAGGACTTTTCTCACAATTTCTGCTTCAGGTTGCTGTTGTGCTACTGCTGAGGAAAAGCAGGCTAAGGGGTAAAAAGGGTAGGGCACGAGACTGGTAAAAAAGAGGCAAGGAAAGAGGAAACTCAGAGTAAACTGGATTTGGGTTTGGACCTAAAATCAGGCCTGGGAGGAAAAGGCAGTGGAGCTAAGACAGTGAAATAAAGGACATCAGGGAGCATGTCTAGACCTGAGATGTGGTCACAAATGATCCTGGAGAAGACTGGGAGAAAGAGCAAACAGGCAGAGAGTGGGACAAGGGGTAGACTGCAATGATGGCCTGTAGAAATGTGGCAATAAACTCCTCTTGGAACAGAATCCCAAACATCAGATGCACTCTGCCTTCTGCAGAGCATCCTATACATGTTGTGTGTGCTTTATATCTTTGGTAATGTTAAAAATGGAGGCCAGCATTTCTCAGCAGCTACACTGTTAGCTCAAGTGGCAGGGAATGTCAGGGAGAACTAGTTGTTCCAGCTCTTTTGTGATGCGTGACACTGTCAACGTAACATCATACAATAGAATTTCAGTCTTGTTTTTGTTAATTGTAATTAATTCCACTTATAATTGCGTTTATATTAAGTTTTATTATTTTATTTTAAGGAAAAAGTCTGGGAAATGGAACACCAAAACATCTGACATGTAAGAAATGTTACATTGGAAAGATTCAGTATTTACAAAATGGAAAATTCAGAGCACCTGCATGAGTATGACATTAACTAAAACTTTTGTTTTCAATTGGACATCTAAGCTCCCAGAATTATTTACTCTGTCATCCTGTGAAAGGGGTGGAACAGGATGTGATCTGCAATGTAGCTCTCTGTCTGCAGCATATAGTGGAAAATAGGTACTGGCCCTAGAGTGATCGGAGAAGGAAAAAAAGGGGTGATTTTGTAGTTTCATCAACTAAGGGCTGCATTGCAGAGCTGGAATCTATTCCTTCATTCCCATGAAGTGTCCAATAAGCAATTTTCTTAAAGGTGGGTGTTAAATCTATGTGCCACATTTTCTGTTGACTTCTGTGATGCACATAGCATTACTTGTTTGCAAAATACTCTAAAAAGCAGTGCAGTTGTCAGTGAATGGGAGTCGTGCTCTTAACAACTATAAGGTACTAATTACTCTGGCACTTCAGATCATAGGTGTCTCAAACAAGGCATACCTAATTACTAGGTACTGATGGATGATCATGTTTCATCCCCTGGACCACGATCCTTGTACAGCTACACTAACCTGTAGAGAGACAACCCTATGCTACGTCAACATCAGTGAATTAAACATGCTTGGGTGAGCTTCAGCTGATCAGCACAGCCACAGCTCTAAATTACCAAGCACTCTGATGACTTCTTCTGCCACTTCTCTTGCTTCCAAAATGTATCTCAAAAGTCTGACCTTTTTCTTTCTTTTTCCATTGCAGGTGTCTTACAGAGCCCAGCAGGGAATAACATCCAATCCTGCCATCAAGATGGTGGCCATATGGATCTTAGCCTTTCTCCTGTACTGCCCAGCAATCCTCCTTTGGGAGCACATGGCTGGACAGAGCGCAGTAGCGGCAGATCAGTGCTACGCCGAGTTCTATGACAACTGGTACTTCCTCCTGTGTGCATCCACCCTGGAGTTCTTTGTGCCCCTGCTCCTGGTGACCTACTTCAATATGCACATCTTCCACAGCATCCAGAGGCGCCAGCGGCCTGGCAGTGTGCAGGACTGTGAGCCTCCGAGGAGCAGCAGCCTGTCCTGGAGATTTTGCCCCTTGCCAAGGTCAGGGGCGTCTTCTTCTTTATCTGAAGCAGAGGACAGTGTTTCTTCTTCCATGAGACAAAAGAAAGAGTCTTTGGTAACTGACTGCTCATCTCCATCCAGAGGGAATTCTGTTACTCCAGAAAATGAATTTTCTGTTTCCCTCTGTTCAAAGGCTAGGTCAAAACTGCAGCAGGACAAGAAAATCGCAAAGTCACTTGCCATAATTGTCTGTGTGTTTGCCATTTGCTGGGCCCCATACTCTTTATTAATGATTGTTCGTGGGGCCTGCCAGGGAACTTGTGTCCATAACGCCCTGTATGAAGCAACTTTTTGGCTTTTATGGATCAATTCCTCTCTGAACCCATTTCTCTACCCTCTATGCCATGTTAAATTTCGAATGGCTTTTCTGAAAATATTAAGTCCCAAGAAGTTTGCCACATTGAGATCAGGCTCTTTTTAGAAGGAAAAAAGGAAAAGGAAGGACCAAGAAGGGCTGGATGAGGGATGTAAATTACCACAGTTTGAAATTAGATTTAGTCTTTTCCAAGAGATTGGTCTAGTTGGAAAGTCTAAATAAGCCTCCTGTGAAATGTGAAATGTTCTCCTTCAGACAAATGCACATGCCCAAGGTTTGTGTACTTTTCCCAGATATTTCAATTACCCACTTAAAGGCTCTATCTGACTTTGCCTAGTAGTCTATACACATGATCACGATTCTGGTTGCTGAAGATACTATCTTCAGTTGCAGTGCAACTTATACTTGTGTTTATGGGTGTTATTAGTTAAAAATACAATGAATTTGTGTATTTGCTGTAGTATTCTAAAGTTACTATCTTCTCTGTTCTATTTCTTTTGAACATTTGGAATCTAATTTTCCCCTACATCAAACATCAAACAGTTAAGTTATGAGTTTTCTTGCCAGCAGGATTATTTTCTTTCATTAAAGGTTTTTGGCCATTTTTCAAAAACTTGGGTCTATATATTCCCTGCAGAAGAGCATTACTCTGTGTATTTACTCAGAGGCAGCAGTAGAGAATTTAGGGTGTGTAAAGCATTTCTGTGAATGTCCAGCTATTCTTCAAGAAACAAGCCTTCTACAGCTGTAGTTTTGAGAGATCATAGGAAAGCATAGTATTTGTTCTTACTACTTGAGGGATAAAATCCACTGCTGCTGGCTGAGGGAAGTTGTGGTGGTGCATCCCCTCTCCCCCATGGGCCACATTGTGATCTGAAAAATGCTCATTAGGCCTCAGCTGAAGATGGGATACAACAGATGAAAATAATACAATGCAAAGAATGCATGAAAGAAATAAATATTTAAAAAACCCCAAAACAACTAAAAGGGAAGAATCTCAATTTTGATATTTTTAAAGTTTTTTAAATACTAGGAAACACTGATGAATGGTCAGCCTTTTGGGAATAAACTTGCACAAGATTCAGGCATGAAATGCTGAGGAAGAAGAGTCATCCTTACACCTGCAGGTGAAAACATGAATGTGAGTTCAGTGTCAGGAGAATGATGGTCAGTCCTTATTTGCCTGTCTAATCGCTAATTAGTTAAAAAGCTGCATTATGACATGTCCAACAAGAAGATGTTGGTATCACCTCCAAACAGACTACGTGATTACTCAGCCTAGCCTGGACTTGTTCCACTGTCACACTCAACTGTTGAGGTAAAAAGTTATATCCTTCTAAAGACTTTGACCTATTATAATTTCCTTTGATTATTTTTTTCCTTCCTGTTACATTTCTGTTTGACCTAAGAGAGGCTAAAATGTAATCTTATGAAACCTCCTGTGTAACTGAGTTTACAAAAGCATATTGGTTTTTCTATCGCCTCTCCGGCATTCTTTGAATACACTTCTTGATTGTTGTTTTGACTGAATGTCATCTTTTTAGTCAATGCCTAAACAGCACTGGCCATTATAGGATCTTGGCCAATGAGCTGGGCTTGTAATTACTGCTAAAAGTGAGCAGATATATATATCCAAAGCAGGTCAGAATACAAAACACAGCTGCCACTACACCCATCTGTTTTCATTAAGTGCAGTGTGCACTAGCCTTTTTCCATGAAAAGCTTTTAAAATGCAACTTGTAAAGTCAGTAATGATGAACATGTGCAAACAGATCCTTTTGTGACAACTTTAAGAACAAATGGCTCCTTAATGTTTATGAGACATGCTTTTGATAGTGTTAGCAATAGGGATTCAAATATCTCATTCTGGGGATTCAAATATCTTAAATATCTAGTTCTGGTTAGGTTTTTAAAATTATATCTTTGAAATTTAGCCATTGCCATGTGTAGATAAGGACACATACTCTTATATCTACGACGTTATATTTTTTTTGTTCTTCCTTGCTCATGTCTTATAATCTGGACTCGATGGTCTCAGAGGTCTTTTCTAACCTGGTTGATTCTGTGATTCTGTCTTTTGCTTGCTTCTCATCCCAGCCTGCTCTCTGCCACAGCTCCTTGGTACAGGCCAGAAAACCAGCTGGATGCTGGTATCAGCAGGGACTTATTTATAAGCTGCCTGAGGCCTTTTAAAGTCAGTGGCAGTGCCTTGTGCAAAGGCAAGGAAAAGCAAGTTTAGTTTAGTTGATACAAGATATGGAGCACAAGCCTAGGTCCTCTGAGGGCAATGAAACAGCTAATGCTGCCTCCGTTTGGGCTGACTTGACATGTCAGGGGTTGTCAGAATAAATACTCTAACTGCACAGTGCTTCTTGGTGCAAACTTGGTTTTGGGGGCATGGGCAGACATTTCAGGAATATCTCTGGCTCATTTCTGGCACCCTTTGCAACTGTACTGGGAAATAAGTTGTAAATATAGTTGTCTCTGTCAGTTTTTGTGAGCTATTTTTAGTAGCATAGGGGAGTAAGAAAGAAGCTAGTGGGCAAGAAAAATTGAGTGGTTTAGGAGAGGGGCTAGATTAGTCTTTTTATTCTTCTGATGTAGAAGTTACTAGCAGCAGAGAAAGGCACGGGATCGTAGAGTCACAGAATCATAGCATCAATGCTATGGTTTGGGTGGGAAGGGACCTTAAAGATTATCTAGTTCCAACCTCTGCCCTGGGCAGGGAAACCTCCCACTAGACTAGGTTGCTCAAAGCCCCATCTAGCTGGGCCTTGAACAATTCCAGGGATGCGGCATCCACAGCTTCCCTGGGTAACCTGTGCCAGTGCCTCACCAGCCTCACAGCAAAGAATTTCTTCCCAGTTCTTCAAGATAAACCTACCCTCTTTCAGTTTACAGCCATTCCCCCTTGTCCTGTCACCATCTACCCTTGTAAAAAGGCCTTCTCCAGCTCTCTGGCAGGCCTCTTCTCTCTGCTTCTTCAGGCTGAACAACCCCAGCTCTCTCAGCCTGTCCTCATAGGGAAGGTGCTCCAGCCCTTGGATCGTCTTTGTATCCCTCTTCTGGACCTGCTCCAGCAGGTCAATGTCCTTTTTAGGTTAGGGATCCCAGAGCTGGACGCAGTAGTCCAGGTGGAGTCTCACAAGATCTCTGTGCACTGTACCCCTTATCCTTCAGCCAAGCTGCAGAAATATCGGGAACTGTCAGGGGGAAGTTTTAGACCAAGAAGATTCTTATGGACTGTGAATCCCTATGGAAGTTGCACAAGTAAGCTTCATTACTGACCTAAGTGTCGATGACATGAAATTTTTCCTACACACTGTCTGAACTCACAGTCAGCGCAGGTCCTGCAGGCCATGGCATGGGATCTGTGCTAATTAAAGGCATTAGTAAGGCTGCTGGTTAGAAAGAAAATCTGATACTGCTGTCAGAGGCAAATTTCACTTCTCCCTTGGATTGACAGAACCATCTGGAATTTTTTACATTTGCATTATTTCATGAGAGTGACCAGACAACTTCCTGCCTTTATATATCTCTATATAAAAGGTGTTGTTTCAAAGTACCAGAAATAGCTGAAAATTGCTATGAAAACGTGTAAAGAAAAAGTTTTAATAAACAAAATTCAGATTTGCATCTAAAACCAAAAGCTAGAATTGAACAAAAGACAGTGCAACGCTTTGTAGGAGGAATTTGTCTGGATCTTGGAAAGTTGTTTTTTTTTAGTTTCATTACTGAACAACAGCTTAGCCCTTCACAAAAAATCTTGTTTGGGCTCTAATCAAAATTCTGATGTAGGACCTGTTGCTGAGCAAATCTTAGTTAAGAACAGTTAAGTCTTACTGCTATTTGTGTGAATGTCTTGTGGGCACCCAGTATGACTTGACTGCCATGACTGACCTCCCCTAGAGCTCCACCTCTGACATCAGCCTTGGGCCCAGGAACATGGTTTATCTGGGGTGGTCCTGGACTGAGCTACCTGAGTGCCTGTAGGCTGCTCTGAGCTCCATCTTTTGCATTTTTTTGAGGTTTTGACTGAACTTTTGAGGTTGGCCTCAGAAGCACACTGTTTCCATTCTTACATCACTGGCAATTACTAGCAATTGCCCTCTCAGGACTTTTCCCCTCTAGCCCTTTTTCAGGATCTGGTTACTATACTTCAAGCTGGATCGAACTTTCCCGCCTTTAAATGTTTGTGCATTGCTCTGATCTTCGCTTGTGTGCGTACTTGTTCTCCCATTTTCCCTCCTTGCTAAACAATTTTGCCCAAAATTTTTATCTTAAATATGTGGATGTTTTTTGCTAAGAATTCTCCCTTATCATTCTAGCATTCACTAGACTTATTGGTTGCAACAAGACTCAGTATAACCAGCAGTGAGACTGCTCACTGATATGCTCTCTCTTGATCTGTGGAAACCTTTAAGAATCAGCTGCTCTTTTTCTCCGTTTTCTGTAGGACAAGGTACAATATTTGTGTCTGTTCTCTTCACGCCAGTGTTTCTTTGCCACCCTACCTAGGCCATTTTATTTCTCACTCCTAGGGATGAGGGCAGTCACACTGCTGTGTAGGTGTCTTGTAAAGCAGCAGGCCAACTTTTCCCAACCACCTGCATTGCCAACAAAATCAGTGTGATTTAGGGGAGGGGTCTGACTTAAACCCTTGAGACAACAGTTGAGAGAGCCTGTTCATCCCCTGGTAGACTTGTGAAGCAGGTGCTGTGAGTGCATCTGCTGGTTTTCCTTATGATAGTTTCTCAGAGAAGCCTCATTTTGGCATTTTTTTCCTCTTGCTGTTCAAACCAACAAGTTCCTGCAGATGTCACTAGTGCTACACGGTATTTCTAAACCTTGCAAATCCATGGGTTTTTCAAGAGATGTCATTTATATGTACAGTCCTGCATGGTCTGACACCAGCACCTTTCTGATAAAACCACTACCAAATCTGCTGTATTACATCTAATATTTACTCTGCTCCAAAAAAGATTAGGGAAAGAGTTTATTACATTGGCAAAGAAAGAAAGACTTTGGTCACAGAGATAATCATAAATCAGTGCAGAACTTCTTCCTAAGTCATCCTGCATAGAAATTGTCTTGTGCTCAGAATTTGAAGCGGAACCCATGGAAAAGGAGAGAGAGTCATAGCAAGCTGAGAGCAGGTCCTCAGCGTTGGTTTGTCGGAAAAAAGTGCCCTCTCCTCTGATATAGAAGGCTTTGTTCTCATTAAGCTATTTAAGCTACTCTAATTGTGGGCTGCCAATAAAGAAGTTGTCCATCTCTCCTACCCTTCTTGCTGCCCTTTGTCAGCAGCTTACTTCTGGGTTAGCTTCAACTATTCACACAGACTAGCATATGCAGACTGCTGGTATGTTTGAATATAACATTGAATTACTGTACTTCTGTTTGGACCACGCAGATCTTGAAAAGTAAAAAGGAAAAGCCTGAACCAAATGTGGGGGGGTGTGAGGAGGAGTAATTAGTTGCCTACTAAAACAGCGAAGACACAAAACCCCACTGGTTTCGGTAAAGACCTTGAGCTATATCTCGATGTCTCATCTCACATATCTTGTTAGGTGCTAGAAATGGATATGAGAATCAGCAGAATCAGCTGCTAGAGAGATCTATCAGACTTCTCTGGATGTATTTTTTCATGGGAAAAGGAACTAGAGCAGAGCAACAGGTGCAATTCAGTGCTATGCCATATTCAGTTCTGGGCTGGAAAAGCTCTGAAAGTTTAAATAGGGTATTCCCCCCCCTTCTAATCTACTAGACCCTTTAAAAATGTGTGTTAGTAACAGGGGTGTAGTTTATTAAATTGCTGGGGTTGAAAAAATGTGGGTTTTTTTCCTCATTTTTGACATGTCCCCTTCCCAGAGAGAGAAAAGTGTGATCTGAACTTCTGCACTGCTGATAATGTCACAGCTTTATGGCCAGGTTGCAGAGAGGGAACTACCTCACCCAGAGTGGAACAACTCAAAGTCTCTCTGTAGTGATTAGTATTCCTGGAATGTGTCTGTTTATGTCTTGGACTTAAAGCCACTGCCTCCTCTCCTTCATTCCCCCAGTCATTCCAAAGCAAAAGTCACCAGTGTAAGAGTTCATGTGGGTGCTTTCTGGTGGACCTTGCCTTTAGGATCTTTTCATCTTGGATTTCTTCCTTCAGGCTGTTAGCCTTTGCCTTGTCCCCTTTGCCCTGCATTATTCTTTTCCTCTCCGTGGCTCTCCGTGGTTTAGATTTATTAATTGAAAGGGAAGCTGCCACTGTGGCACCTGAAGGGCTTCTGGCTGAGCCTGAGGTGGGGCAGCAGCCTGCAAAGAGAAGTGGCTGCCTGGTGGCTCTTGCCATCAGCTGTGCTTTGCTGACAGTCAGGGAGCTTAGCCTCCAATTTAGCTTATCTAGGAGGCAAAAGGGGCTCCACAGCTGTGAGGTGAATTTGAAAGCTGTGCCCTGCCCAAGAGAGAAGAGGGCAGAGGTGTGAGGTGGGCAACATGGCACGAAAGAAAGCACCTTTCCAGAGCTGGTAACTTGAGCGCAGGGACTTGCATGGCCCAGCCTGCAGGGTCTCCAGTTCTAAATTATCTTCACATACAAGAAGTATCGAGGGCAGATTTACCTAAAAATGATCAAGTGCAGTTATTCATCCTAGCTTCAAATATTGTGGGATGCATTCCTTAGCCATACAAGAAAAATTGGTATGTTATAATTTGACTACTCCTTTTTATGGTGGTTCCCAACCTCATAAATGACCAAGAGGGGTCCCCAAACTTAATGGATGTTTGCAATACAGAGAGTAAACAATCCATGAAGAGTGGACCTTCACATGAATGCAGACTGCTGCAGCAAAGTCAGCTGAGAGCCACATTGTCCTAGTTTAAATGAGACAAGGGTCTTTTGCTGAGGATGGATTAGGAGGAAAAGACCCAAACTTCTCTTTCCAAGCAATTATAAATCCAAAATTAAGAGGCTTCGATTGAAGGAAAACAAATTATGGAAAAGGGAAAATAACAGCCCTTTATTAAAGGTATGTGTGTATTAACAGGAACACGAAAAAAACCAAGTAAAATAACTAAGCAATACTCCTATACCCACCAATAATTCCCTTTAAGAACAAAACCGATAAACCGGCAAGAAGAAAATCAAACAGTTCAATTTTTTTTTTGCACCCTTTGGTGCAGTTCCAGCCACAGTCAGCAGGGGGTGCTGTCAGGTCACTGGAGATGCAAAATTTGTAATGTCCTGTATCATTCACCAGGTGGCGCTGTTGGGTCACTGAAGGTGCAAAAACTTGTAGTGTCCTATTGTAGTCACCAGGTGGCGCTGTTGGATCACTGGAGGAAGCAGAACTTGTAATGTCCAGTGCCCATCACCAGGCGGCGCTATGGAATCCCTAGTCATCGCCCCGTGGGATGGGGAAAAAAAACCCAAAACAGTACTTTCCAGGTACAAACCAAAACCCAAAAAAAACTCGGTTCCCCTTCCCTTCCCACACTGGGGAAGGAGTGAGAGAGAGGGACTGGGGGGGGAAGGAAAAGAAAAAAAAACAGGAATAAAACAGAAAGTTCTCCCAGTGGAAGAAAACTCACGAACTTCAGCTGATTAGGACTAGTGTTAAGCAGGGCCTGCAGCCAGCAACAGCTGAGAAGAGAACAGCAACAAACTCCACTCTGACAGGAAGAAAAGAAGCAAACTAGGCAGCTTTGCAGCTTACAGCAGGTCCTCGCCTCACTGGCACACACACACACCGGCCACACCTCCCTTCCCCACCTCCTTCCAGCCCCACACACCAGCTCCCTCTCAACTCTTCCCCCTTCGTTTTCAAGGAGACTAATCTCTCGGCTATTACTGGGCCAGGCCGATTCTTTTGTTCACCTAATGGGCAGTATACAGAGCACACACACACACACGGCAGGGGGAAAGGAAAGAAAAAAATTCTTTGCTAAAATCAGAACTATGACACACATTCAGTCATGGTATTTCTAAAACCTCACAACTTTTTAATAATATAAAGTTTATACTTTCATCTACATAAGCCTAATGAATATTGATCAGATTAATGCTTGATACAGTGACACAGGGAGTTTAAGATCTTCTATTTTAAGGTCTCAGGTGAGCGAAGAGTTTAAGGTGATTTAAGGATTTTAGATCAGTAGAAAATAATAAATTGTCTTTAAACCTTTAACGCAGCTTAGCTGCAGCTTTGTAGACTATCTCTCAGATATTTTAAAAAGTTTAAGCCTTCTTTGTGCAGCAG